CCTTCCCCTTTTTAATAATTAATGCAAGGTTTTTTTTTTGTTTTGTTTTTGTTTTTTGGTAGAGAGTTAAGTGTGCTAGAGAGACCAAGAAAGGAGTAAACACCCCATAGAGAACAGTCACGCTGCAATCCCTTTTCTTCCATCTCTCCTTTCCCTCAGGATTTTGGGCATGCACATGCACCCAGCATGTTTCTCAAGCCACACGCTGGAAACCTGCATTAAGTATGGATTAAGCCACCAACCCACTGGTTAAAAGGAATTATTAGAATTTAAAAAGGAATGACCTGTTATTTGAATTCAGGGTAAAAGGACTCTTTCATTCTTATTATTTTTAAGAAGTTTATTTCTTCCATAAGCAAGAGAGGGAGGAAAAAAAAGGAGTATCCCCAACAGGGTATGGATGCCATGATATACCCCAGCTTCAGCCAGCCCTGGGCCACATGGGATCTGGCTGCCTTAAACACCAGGCCCCAGAGCAGGCCTGCAAACTTTTTTTTTTTTTTTTTTTCCCCCAGTAAATTGTTTTTCTGAGAGAGAAAAAGAGACAGTACTTCCAATAGGGTCTTCATGTCATGGTCCACTCTTGAGCTCTGGTCAGCTCTGGATCATAGGCACGAGCTTGCCCCATGTACTCAGGGAGGTCTTTGGTCACAAACCTGGAACCTTCCATGCAAGTCTGCACTGCGGCACCGTCCAGCCTCTTAACGCGTCTTGACTGTCATGGAGGAAACTCAGCGAATTCTCAAAAACACTACGACTCGGGAACCAGCAGTTAGCGTAATGGCTATGTTGCTGGACTCCCTCGTAGTCGACCGCGGTTCGTGTCCCGGACCCGGTGGCTTAAAACTCACGCCGGGTGCGTGTGCGTGCGTGCCCAAGATCCCGAGAGGAGAATGGAGGAGAAGGGATTGCGGCGTGACCATCCCCCCTGGGGGGGTGATTTCTCGCTTTCTGTCTCTATGTCTCTCTCTGTCTGTCTGGCGAGCACACGCGCCCTACAGTAAAAATCTCTCAAAAAAAAAAAAAAAAAAAAAAACACGACTCAAAAATCAGCTCAAGCTTTTTATCATGGGCCCTCAGAGGAGATCAGCTGCTTCAAGATAAAGCTGAGTACATCCTTCTCTGCCACTGGCTGCCAGAAACTCATTGAAGTGGATGATGAACGCAAACTTCGTACTTTTTATAAGCGTATGGTCACAGAAGCTGCTGCTGACGTTTTGGGTGAAGAATGGAAGGCTTAGTAGTTCGAATCAGTGGCGGAAATGACAAACAAGGTTCCCCAGGAAGCAGGGTGTCTTGACCCATGGCATGTCTGCCTGCTACTAAGGGACATTCCTGTTACAGACCAAGGAGAACTGGAGAAAGCGCCAATCTGTTCAGGGTTGCATTGTGGATGCTGATCTGAGCATTCTCAACCTGGTTATTGTTTAAAAAGGAGAGGACATTCCAGGACTGACTGATGGTGGGGCCTAAGAGAGTTAGCAGAACCCAAAAACTTTTCACTATCTCTAAAGAAGACGATGTCCGCCGATATGTTAAGAAAGCCCTTAAATAAAGAAGGTAAGAAACCCAGGACCAAAACACCTAAGATTCAGCACATGGTGATCCACGTGTCCTGCCACGCAAGTGCGGGTGTATTGCTCTCAAGAAACAGAGTACTAAGAAAAATAAGGAAGAGGCAGCAGAGTATGCTAAACTTGGGGCCAAGAGAATGAAGGAGGATAATGAAAAATGCCAAGAACAGATTGCCAAGAGACACAGGCTGGCCTGAGGGCTTCTACTTTTAAGTCTGAATTGTCAAAAATAGGATTTTATAAGAGAAACAAATAGATGGATCTCAAAAAAAAAAAAAAAGAAAAAGCAGCTCAAGACTTCTTAGTTGCTCTGGGTGTGTATGTGTTAAGTTTGAAAACTGAGGGGGGAGAAGTCAAGAAGGCTGACAAGTATTTCAAAGCTGGTACTTCAGGACAGAGACGAAACTAAACAAGAAAGTGGCTAGTTACTATCATCGGGCCACAAGCCTTAGTTTAAGCAAATTCTATAAAGTACCCAGAGTTTACAATGGAGGCAAATAACCAAAGCTTTCACAGTAAACGTTCGGTAAATATAAACCCGTGCTTCTTTTAAATGACCGTGGCTGAACTGGATCAGCTCACACCAAAGCTGCCGCTGCTAGCCACACTGCGTTCCCCTAGTCCATCCACGCCACCAGAACTTATTTTGAAATTTCAAGACTTTAAGGTTACTGTTAACCACTGAAGTACTGGCGTGTGGTTATAATTCAGCCAATGGAACTGCGCAGTCTGTGATGAAAACCAGTTGCCATAACAGAGTTCACTTCGAGACCCTCGGGGGACAGCTGCTGGCTCTCGCACTCTGGACAGCTGGAAACTCTTACATCAATATGCCGTGAGAAAGTGCTTTTCGGCTCAAGACTCCCAATGAGATACCATACCATAAATTTCTATGGGATAAAGTTATTCTTTCAGGGGCTTCACGGGAGTACACTGGGGGAGGGAGGCGGCACAATCCGTCATGCTCTTCAAGATATTCAGACAAAGGAAACAGCCACATCCCTATGAGGGCTCCCTTTCATAGAAACACCCTGCTTCTTTCCACTACCCTTCTGTGTTGAGGGGCGGGGAAGAGTATGGTGTGGCTGAAAAGCATTTAGCGATACAAATCCCCAAATTCAAACCTTCCAAGATCCTGAAACACTTCAGTCTTTCCCAAGCTGTTTACTTTCAATAAATTACTTTCTTTGCTATAAAAAGGTTGTGCTTTTCTAAATTATTTAAGGAAATCAAATCCCAGGATGCTCTTTATTAAAGTGCTGTAGTAGGTCTGGAAAGCACCAGAAGAACTCAACCTGAGAAGCCATCCTCTATCAATCCTATTCCTACATCTCCAAATGAGTGTTCAGGGCCCACAGAAAATAACTGTTCTGTTCTTAGTGACAGCTGCCTGCCTACCACGAGTCTCCCAGGGCCTCTCCCTTCTTCCTGCAAGATCTGGACTGTCCCCCGTCTCCCTATGTGTCAATTATCTTTGGCCTCAGCTTTATTTTCCCCCAAGACTTAAATCAGTCATGACTTCCAGGCTGCTACAGGCTCTGTGTTCCAACGTTAAAATTACTGCTCAGATTTTGCAGCTGGCAGTGACACTGAGGAAATATACTATTTCTGGGGAAAATCAGTGTTTTACTACATGCAAAGCCAAAAAGACACAACTCCTTTGCATAGAAGTCTGGGGAGATAGGGAGAAAGAAGGGGAGGAATATAGTTATTCAGGATTGCAATCAATTTTAAAAGAAATGCCTTTATTGTATTAAAAATGGAAATGTGTACTAAACTAAAATGCTCATGATTTAGAGAATCGGGGAGGTAATTTTTTCTATTTATCCTGATGGTATCTGCAGTCATCTGAATATCTTTAACTTCAGAAAAATGGTTTGAGGGATCCACAGTTTTGAACTGGCCTCCCCCCTCTCAAGTCCCAAATGGTTAACAGTCACAGCCCTGTGGAATGTTACTTTTTTTTTAAAACCATTTATCTACACTAATCAATTTTTGAAAGCACTGGTGTCACTTGGTAGTTTCTTTTTTATGTGGAACATTTTAACTAACAGCAAAAGGAAAGACAAGAAATTACATAATTATCATGCTATGGCCTGATTGGGAATGCAAAAAGTAATAATCCAGGAAGTATTCATTCAACATTATTATAAATAACACGAACAGGTCCTACATGATTTTGTCATATCTCATGAAAGCCTGTCTCTCATTTGTGCTAAGTTCCCTTAAGTTCTGCTAATTTAATCACAAGAAGAGGTTTCCCAGGTGGGCACCCAGATTCATCTCAGGACACCCAGCTCAGCCACCCCCAAGCGAGTAACCAGATTCTTCTATGCACAGCCATGACCACACAGGACCAGCACTCACTTTCAAACCTTCTAAGTGGGACCAGGGCAGGCAATTATGAATCCACACCTACCTACTCAGAGGCCTCTAGCTCTCACAGTTGGCCCTTCTAAACTCACAACTGCCTGGAAGTGGAAGCAGCCACAGATGAGCAAATGCTTAATTAAAATTTCTATTACTGTTGTTGTTGCCATTAAACACTATCGTTACTATTACTCAAAGGTGAACACATATTGCCCTAAACCACAGAGTTTGCAAAAGGCACTCTAGCTCTGCTCTAAAAATAATGACAACATTGACACAACAGCAAATATTTACTAAGCTCTTACATTTGCCAGGCAGTGTGCTAACCATTTGATTTTACTTACAACAATAACACTGTGTGGTATGTAACAGTATTTTAAAATGAGGATGCTGAGGCTTAGAAAGATGAAGTTACTTGCCCAAGTTCCTACAGGGCATAGGTGCAGAGCTGAAATTTACAGCTGGGAAGTTATGACCTCTAGGCCTAACTCTTACCGTTTTCCATCATTGCAACTCTGCCTGGTTAGGGAGCATTCTATTAACCCCATTACTGTTAACCGAGCCCACTTTACCTCTCAAGAGTACAGATTAGTTGGGACCAGCAGTTGGCATAATGGCTATGTTGCTGGACTCCCATGTAGTCGACTGCGGTTCGGGTTCTGGGCCTAGTAGCTTAAACTCACGCTGGGTGCGTGTACGTGCGTGCCCAAGATCCCGAGAGGAGAATGGAGGAGTAGGGATTGTGGCGTGGCCATCCTCCTTGGGGGGGTGGGGAGTGATTTCTTGCTTTCTGTCTGTCTCTGTCTTTCTGGGGAACGTACACGCTGTATAACAAAAACCTCTCCAAAAAAAAAAAAAAAGAGTATGGATTAGTCACAATCATTCAACCAGGGCTTTCACTGCGTGACACTGTGCAAAATCTACAACAATCCTCGCTTGGTGGAAGATCAGCCCAGGACATTCTGTCTTGGGTGGTGACATTGGTACTGGCACCCTCCTCTGTTTGGCAGGGTGTGACTGGAAACCCACGACCACCAGCATCATCATAACTTCCCCATTCCCGAGAGGCTGACTTTACAACGCCTTTGCCGCCATGAACTTCAGGCACTGGTGTTATTTTGTTTTAAACCTATGTTTGTATAATATATCATCTTTGTTTTTCAAACCTCTATTTCCTGTTAATTCTATCTGCCCTGAGCTATGTCAAATACTAAAACTGACCATCCTGAAGAGAAAAAGCAAGCTTTAAAATGCAAGAAAAATAAGACACTTGAGTTAAGTTACCTTTACATTCAAATTCTACTGTAAGATGGCAAAAGGACTATAAACATTTCAGTATTAACAAAGTTTTGTTCCATATTTTTGTTGAAATATATAAAAATATTTTCAATAAATACTACATAAGACAATGTGAGATTATCATATTTTACAGAAATAATCAAGTACAGTCTCAAATGTTTCTTAATCTTCTATGCACACCCTTCTGGTTTTCTGGGGAAAGGTCGTCTTAAACTTCTTCTGTTGCCGTTGCCTAATTTAAATTGTGGAGAAAGTCTGTAGAATTTGATTTTTTAGCTATTTAAAGTGAAATTAAGACACCAAAATCATGTTGCAGTCAGATGTGATATGATAGCCAACGCAATTCTTAAACCAGTCAAAAGCTGCATCAGGTAGAACGCAAGAAACCAGAGATTCCAGTCTTTGTTTCCCTCGTGCCTGTTGGTAATCCCAGAAGCCTGCACCACGCCTCCTCGAGTTCCTCACTGTTACCCCCGTGCAGATCTCACAGTGCATTGTACTCCACACATTTTGATGGATCTGTCGGAAAGTGTTTCTGGCAAATGGTCATTAATCTCTTCAATCCCTAAGAAGATAAAGAAAATAAAGGTTGGTTGTTATATGGTTGGGACTGTTCCTGCTTGTTCTCCTCTGTACTCATTCAATCTGTTACTGCAAATAGTCCACAGTAATTCACTCAGATGTATTCCAGAGAAACAATTACTCATGTGCACTCAGATATTTAGAAGAATGTTCATCACAGCATTTTTTATAATAACAAAACAAGAAAGCAAAGAAACTAAAAACAACTCAAATTTCTATCTATAGCCAAATACATAAACGTAAGCTTTAGTATGCTCACAAATGAAGGTTTTTTTGTTTTTGGGTTTTTTTAGAGGTTTTTGCTACAGGGTGCATCCACTCACCAGAAAGACAGACAGACAGACAGACAGACAGAAAATGAGAAATCGCCCTCTGGGGGGATGGCCACCCCGCAGTCCCTTCTCCTCCATTCTCCTCTTGGGATCTTGGGCACGCACGCACACACGCCAGGCTTGAGTTTAAGCCACCAGGTCCAGGACTCAAACTGTGGTCGACTACATGTGAGTCCAGTAACATAGCCATTAAGCTAACTGCTGGTCCCCTCAAATGAAATGTTTTAAAGCACTAAAAATGATTGAACTATAACTACATTTAATAATTTAGTCTTTTTCTATCAGGTTCCAATAGTAAACTAAGCTAGAACTATCCAGCCTAAAGTACCCACTGCACATAATGAGATGACCTCCTCTCTCCTACGTGTCTTATGATTTAGCGTACTATTGATGTGCCACAAGTACACAAGCAAAGAGCTGCTCGAGTCACCTTCTGTGTTGTCATTGAATGAGAAACTCTGGGTGAGAAAGGCCAATACACATGAGTCTTAGAAACAGAACTGCATGGGGTCAGACGGCAGCACAGCAGCAAAACATGATGCTCTGCAAGGCAATCCCTCATAGGAAGGTTCCCAGTTCCACTCTGGAGACTTCCCTAGCTACACCAGGAATGCACCTGCATGATCTGGGACTGGCTGGAGGCTGGGCTGGAGGTAGGTATTCTCTCTTTCTTGCTCTCTTTCTCTGCCTCTCTTGCTCATCAAAGAAATAAATTTTAAAAAGATAAATAAGGTTGAATGCAAAAGGCAAGTGACAAAAGACTGCATATAGTATAATACCATTAAAAATTCAAAAGCAAGTGAAAAAGAATCACTTAAAGATACACACACAACATGGTAGAATTATTCTCCCAAAAGCAAGGAAATGACAAACATAAATTCAGGAAAATAGTTACTTCTGGGACAGAGGAAAATATAGATTAAATGGCCTTCCAAATGTTCTAGTTCTTAAGCTGGGAGTAAGGTTTTTAGATATTCTGTTTAATATTCATAATATACACTTACATATTTAACAAATATTACATGAAGAAAACATTTTAGATTAATTGTAAAAACTGAGCGCAACATTCCCAAAGTTACCCCACCCCACCAGTAGCCTGTTTCCATGGCCTGTGGTTCTTTTTGGGCAACGGTAACACATACAGAGAATTCCCACTGATCCCATAAAATCCAAGTGCTTTCTACTTCTGCAGTTTTTCTCCAGTGTCTAAAGGGATTTTAACTGAAGACAAGATCACCCAGTCTCTTCCAACTTATCCTTCGGTATGACCTTTTAAAATTCTTTGTTGGCATTTGGCTCTTAAGTTGCTCTTAGCTTTCTGAACCACCACTGCGTAAACATGCCTTCGAAGTCATTACCCAGATTCTCAGTATCCTTCACAAACAGGCCAGGGACAAAGGCAGAACCCTGCAACATACCACTGTGGATCTCTCTCCAGAGCAATCATGGGAAAAGTCAGCAGCCAGCAATGAATGCTAAAAACTGAATTACCAGCCCACAAATCTTATTTACAAAGAGACAGACTGTCAAATGTCTTAGTGAAAGAAACACAACTACTGAGATATTGATTAGTTATTTAAAACAGAATAGTAGGCAACTTAATTTTAATGACCCTTAAAATAATATTTGGCACTAATTATTTTAAAATTTCTCTGGGTTCACAAAAAATAAAACTACCTACTTCCCAACACAATACCAAGAACAATGAAATCCTATCCTCACAGGGCAAAGGCTAATTACAATCAGGCCTAGAATAATATTGATATTGTATATGAAAGTATATATAGCACAGTGCCTGGTACTTAATTAGTATATCCCTAAAACTCATTTTCTTCCTTTGAAATAATACATTGAAACATAATCTGTTCTTTGAACAAGAAAGAGCTTCACTACACAGTGGGAGAACAGAACATGTGGCTACAGTTACACGACTCAAAAACAAAAAAAACATCTGGAAATCTGGGGAAGAAGCACAAAATAATTGCCTCAAAATATATGCTGATCTAACAGGTACCTAAAACATCATAAAGCATTTAGAATTGTTACTCTATAATTACCTAAATAATACCACTTAAGCTCAGAGGAATTACCCAAAACAAAACAAACCACAACAAAAAATCCCTGCAAAATCATTATGGCCCCGGGACCAGCAGTTAGTGCAATGGCTATGTTGCTGGACTCCCATGTAGTCGACCGCAGTTCAAGTCCCAGACATGGTGCCTTAAACTCACACCGGGTGCATGTGTGTGTGTGCCCAAGATCCCAAGAAGAGAAGAGAGGAAAGGTGATTGCAGCGTGGCCATCCCCCCTGGGGGGTGATTTCTTGCTTTCTGTCACTTTGTCTCTGCCTGTCTGGCAAGCGCACGCACCTTATAGCAAAAACCTCTCCAAAAAAAATCAAAAATCATTATGGCCCTGATGTAAGTAAGGAATAAGACTACTACTTCTATGAACTGACTTATACTCTAACAGACTCAACATCAGTGAAACATGATTTCAAAATATTTTATTCAGATGGGCCAACCCCATGGTATTACAGGAATACACTGTTCAAGAAAAGCTGTTCTGACATGGTAACCATGTGGGAAATCCTTCACCAGATTCGAATCTCCAGCCCAGCCAGCCTGAAACACGCCAGGCAGGTGCATGAGTGTCCAAGATCCAACAGGCTGGAGGACTGCAAGGAGGGTATCACAATGTTAAATACCCATGGAGGTAGCTCCTCTTTATTTTTCATGTGTGTTTACATGTGCTCTATCAAGAATAAAGACAAAATTTTTTTTTGGGGGGGGGGAGATGTTTTTGCTATAGGGCATGTGCACTTGCCAGAAAGACAGAGAGACAGAATGCAAAAAACCACCCCCAGGAGGGATGGCCACGCTGCAATCCCTTCTCCTCCATTCTCCTCTCGGGATCTTGGACATGCACGCACACAAGCCTGGCATTAGTTTAAGCCAATGGGTCCAGGACTCAAACAGTGGTCGACTACATGGGAATCCAGCGACATAGCCATTAGGCCAACTGCTGGTTCCAAGACAAAACATTTTCAAAGAAATATTTTACTTAGAATCCTTTGTGAATTCAAACATTATCTATGTTACACTATTTAAGAATTAGGGATGTGGAAGGAGGCTATCTTTCAGCTGCTTTCCAAGAAAAAAGATTTTTGGAAGCAGTGCAAAGAGAGTAGAATTTACTTTACTTTACTCTTTTTTTTGGTGTGTGTGTGTGCACATTCCCTATGCCAATCAGGTATTGCTTTAGGATAAAGACGATTCCTTCTCACAGTCCTGCTTCTCCTGCGTGAATTCTAATCATGGAATTGTGATTTGAAGCCATGACAATATATGAGATATCATTAATATTCCAAGTTTCCTAACGGAACAGGAAGAAAGAGGCAAAGCTATTATACAAAGGAGAACTCCCTCCTGATGCAATATCCAATAGCTTTTGTCAGCAACAAACATGGCAGACACCATCATGAGCAAGTAAAAGGCCAACTGCCAGCAGGACTCCTAGACTCCTCACGTTATAAACTGGAATCTTAGGTGTTGCTCCTGCAGGTGGCTGTGACTCTACAATTTTACTAAGATTTTCAGTAAATATAAGCTGTATTCTGGCTGAAATCTTAGTTGCCAAAGGTTGTGAAACTCAACAGACATAAATAGTTATCCAGATACTACATTTTTGCAGTAAGTATTGATAGTACATCACAGACTCAACAGTATGTAATTTCAGAAAAGCATAGTTCTTTCCTTTTACATAACAGAGGGTGCATGTATGTATGCATGAGAGAGAGAGAAAGAGAGAGAAAGAAGAGACAGAGGGGCACCTCAACAGCAGAGTCTCACCCATCACGCTGCAATCTCCTTTCCCCAGCCCTCCAGCTCCTTAGAATCCTGGGCACCTGTGTGTGTGCCCTGTGTGTTTTCCTGCCAACCCAGGGATCAGACTGCGGTTGGCCATGACTTCCAGCCTTGCCAGGCACTTGTATTATTGCTGTGCCATGGCAGCTGGGCAATCAAATGGTTATTTTCCATGTAGAAACAAATCTTTTAAATGAGATTGCCTCAGAATTTCAGCTTTTAATTGTCTGTGGATGCTTCAACCAGTAAGATGATGAGCTGCTTTAGCTAAGCTTATTAAAAATAGCTTAGAATCTGGTGGTATCTTTACCTGATTTGTTTAAAAAATAATACATGTACTGTTCTGGGAATACAGCAGGGAACGAACCAGGAAAAAATCCCATTGTCACTAAGATCACTTTCTAGCACAGGAAGACAAATAAGAAACACAATAAATAGATTTTTTTAAAAAATGCATACAATGGTTAAGTGCTGTGGAGAAAATGGAGCAGGGAAGGGATGCGTGTGGAAATGGGACGACTGAAGGGCTGTGGCTCTGACAGTGTCAATGGACCAGGGAGCTGCTACGGGCTCTGAGCAAGAGGCAACATGAGACTACTGACTGGATGAGCCTGGGTGCTGCTGGTAAGCCGAAAAGGGGCAAGGACAGCAGCTCAGGAACCAGGGACGACACTCCAAGAAGCAGTGAGAGATGCTGGTGACTGGCCCCAGAAGGCAGTCATGGAGGAGGTGACCAAGGATCAGGGTGCAGATTACTTTGAACACAGAATCAAAAAGGTATGCTG